AGTGAACGTGCGGCTGCGTGGTGCTCAGCTGCCGGCTGGGGTAAAACCACGACACCGCCCTAGAGACATCTGGATTTCCAGTCTAAGACCACTGACCTGGCCTGTCACCACTACAGACAGAAGTGTGTATGGGCCAAACTTTCCAACACATCTTCAGTGTAGTCAGAGAGACAATTACGCTGTTCTAGCCTACTGCTAGAACATACCTTTGGCTTACAGGGAAGGTTTGCAGAGTTACAAATCTGAGCCTCCACATCAGAGGCTGAATTCTGCTTTTGCTCTGGCTTATGCATAGCCAAAGCACAAGCCCAGAAGTCACCCAAGACAATTCTCTAATTTTTAGAAATATTACTGTCCTAAAGCCATTGCCAAGAGAGGGACCATGCAAGCACTCCTTACTTCAAACTACCCTCTTTGCTCAGCCTAATCTAGCTTATAGTGGCCATACTATAGCACCTCCCAAACAAGCCGCTTAAACACACCAGGCTCCTGCTCTCTTATATACAGGAGTTTGAGCAAGGAGCGATGCTCCTGTATTCTCACCCACAAATCCTACCTGGTGATGAAGGAGCTGTCTTGCTGAACAAGCTGCTGCTTCATCACCTAGGGAAGTTTGATGGTCTTCACCATGAAGTACGAGCCAATCCACCTGTAAAGAAAAAGGACTGCAGTCCTCCCTTTCAAACCTGCTGTAGGATAACTTTTAGGCTACATGTTATCCCTAACTCATCGACTTCAGTGAAGACCAATACTCCCCTGCCAACCATAACAGTCAGTTTATCCACTTCTTCCCCAGTAGCTCCTTAGCACACCTGGGGATTCAGGGCAGAGCAAGGCAGCAATCCCCCATACCACCTAAAAGCAAACTGAAGATAGACCCTGCTAGCTGTTAGTGTGGTACATCTGGAGGAGGAACGAATTTCTCTCCAAGGGACTTTCCAAACTAAAGTGATGGCCCCAAGGAAATGAAGCAGGATGGGGATGACAGACAGCAGCCACACAGAACCAAAAAGAAAGGGTTTGCTCTGCAACAGGAAGCTTTTCAACGAGTTTAGCAGCTCTTGACAGTCTGAACATAGCTAGGCAAGCAAGGGCAGGAATCAAGATTTCTCTACACTGTGAACACAGGCTCATTATGAGGCCTTTCTAAAAGGGCCCTCCCATGACCAAAATATACCGCTGCACGGCCTTCCTCCTCCTCACTCTTCACAGTAATTCAGAGTACATACAGCTGGCTCAAGGTGGAACTGAGGCTGTTGAGCTGTACCCTGCCTGCCCCATGCAAGACATATATTTTAGAGCTGAAGCTGAAGTTTAGACTTCTGTTATGGCTTACAGTGGTTATTGTGCATGCTTGAGTATCCTTGTTCTTTGCCCTGCAATAGCAAATTCAATTGTTACAGGCATACCTTGGTTGTTACTGCCTGTACCAGCTGCAAGCCAGTACCTGAAGAGATCATGAAGCCTAAGGATGCACCTGCTCCAGAGACAAGTAGCAGTGGGGTTTTGCTCACTATGCAAGAGATTAAAACTGAAGATTTTGCTGTTCCAGAACAAGTACTCATTTGCCCTTAACAACTCAGGACAACTAAGAGGTTGGTACTTAAGTCATCTATGACATTTTAGAAGCTGGTGTTTAAGACACTGGCATGAAGGTAGATAACTTCTGACAAGGAACCTCGAACCAATGACTGGTAAGCTCAACTGAATCCCATCAAGTGGCTCAGGAGGGCTTGGCAAACCTCAGCAAAGAGTTACCATCACAACTCCTACCATTAATCATGTTGTAATCTCCTCTGTTAATGTTAGAGAGTGTGCTTAAAGCTTTCCCAGGTAACTATTTAGAATCAACAGTCAGCACAGATTGTGCACATCATGAATCATAAGGGAGGGAACTTCCTGCACAGCTAGAAAAGCTGTTAAGTTTGAGCAAACACTGTTAACCAGATATTTGCGTGCCTAGACTCAGACATCATTCCTTCTTCAGATACCACCTGCTACATAGGTCTGCAGCTTCTACCTTAGCCCAAGGCTCTAGCAGCAATTTAAGTAAGGCAATATAGTATTAAAGCACTTCTACCTTGTTGGTAGCTAAGCAAGGATAAGACATTATGGTAGCCTTGCAGAGAAGGTGTTTCCCCCACAATTAGGTCTGGCAGAACAATAGTTTGTTTATACATGAAAAAGTTATATCCCTATTTCCCTAAAACTGCCAAACCCAGCTCAAGTATGACTGAATACCTTCTCTGGGCTTTGAAGAAACTAAAATATGCATTCAGTGGTGTTTCATACAAAGAACTAAATTCAAAATGGAAAGGCTATCACTAACGTCTCAGGGTTGGAGGAATGCAGAAGCTACCCTAGGACAAGATCCAAACAATACTTTGAATAAAGCTACCTAAATAACCAACCCACAAGGTCTGCACCTAATCAAATTAGAGTTCTCTGGCTACGTAGGCACCTTCACCATCTTGGATGTCCTGCATTTGTGTCCTGTTTAAGCACAGAGATGCCAAACATGTGCACCACAGCCCATACTTTTAGCAAGCCTACCATGACTCCAGCACTTAATTCAGCAAACAAAAGAGGATGGGGGAAGACAAGGGGAAGA